GTTGCAGGTGTCTTCTGTTGTCAGACAGGCCGTGGGCACAGTGCTTGTGAGACCAGTCCGCTTCTGTAGCGGCTCGCCTTGCAGAAGCCGGAGAGCTGAGAGAATGTGGACAGTTTTGTTGTATTTCTCGAGAGCCTGAAGGCAGTCACAGGACCAAACCCTGTGTCTTAGCAGAGCCCCTAACGAAAAGGTTGGCTTTCAGAGGGACACAGGAATGGTCCTTCACTTTGCCCATGGCTCAGTGGCCCCAGCTGAACGCTGCTGCCAGGAATTGAGCTGTCCTGTTCCCGTCCCCATTAGCAGGGGAACATGTTGAAAGCCCAGGGAGGGAGTCAGGGGCGTTGACTGACGTGTTCTTCGTGGCTTAGTTACATAGGGTTTAACAGCCAGTGGCAGCAACCCTCTGACCCTACCTACGTGTGCTGTCTCTTGCTAGATCATGGTAAATGTCCCCCTCTTTGCTGGGAATCCACAGCTTCAAGAACAGCTCCGCCTTCAGCTCCCTGTCTTCCTGCAGCAGGTAAAGGCCCCTGTCTGGCCCTGTGCTGCCCTCAGCCCCTGGGCTCCAGAGCTTTTCCATCCTCTGTAGGAAAGGGAGTGTCTCGGGCTGCTTAGTCAAGTGGACTAGGAAGCATGTGGGCTTGGGTGGTTTGGGCTGTGAAAGAAAGGGGGTTGCAGAGGGGAAAGAGAAAGGAAAAACTTGTTCAGACAAGGCAAAGTAAGTTATCTAAGCTACCTAAAGGTGGACTTCAGACTAGACTAGTTAAGCTACGTGAAACTCCTATGTGGACAGTCTCTCACTGTAGTGAGTTTACAAAAATTAAAACAGCTAAATGTGGTAGAGCAGCTGGCTTACTCAGGCAAACGGAATAAAATCGCTTTAATTTCAAAGGCATGTGCCCCCGGTTCTGATATGATTTGCCTAGTTCATTCAGGAAATTTGATCCAAACTCTGCAGGTATCTCTGTAGGTGAGCCCTGCAGTCTGGAGTCTTGAAGGAGCAACCAGACTCCCAGCTTCGCTCTGGCTGCAGGGCGAGAGGCTCAGCTCCGTGCTGATTGTTGTTCGGGTTTAAAGCTGGTGGATCTCTGGCTGCTGAAGCTCTCGCTGTTCGGTACCACCGTGTCTTTTTGCCTTTGTTCCCAGATGCAGAACCCAGACTCCCTCTCCATTCTCACCAACCCCCGCGCCATGCAGGCGCTCCTCCAGATCCAACAGGGACTCCAGACGCTGCAAACGGAGGCCCCAGGACTAGTGCCAAGGTAATAAGCGCTTCAGAGTGCGTTTCTGCAGGCAGAGCTGACATGCTTGATACCAGCAGGCAGGCTAGCTGTCGATTCATCGAGGAGATCTGCTTAGGGCACTCTGTCATGGGGGCTTCTCTGTGTCTGTGTGCTGGCAGGCCTCTCTGAGCTCCAGCTAATTAGCAGTTTCTGCTTGTTTGTACTTCACGTGGGAAGTCCTTGACCCTTTCTTTTTGGAGAAAAGGTTTGGAAACCACTTGGTCCCTCCCCCATCTTTTGTTTGCTGTATTTGGTATCGGCTGAGCTCAGGAGCTTTATCTCTGGAGAACAGTACGAGATGCAGAGCCGTGAGGTTGGGTGGGTGCGTTGGGGCAGACTGGTCTGCCGGCAGCCCTCGGGCCTGCTGCTCCCTGGCAGCGTGGCTCACGTTTGGTCTCTGCAGTCCCTTTCAGGCCTGTGTCTGTTAGGATTGCTTACACCCAGCACCGTGTGTGACCAGGGTACAAATGAAGCTGGTTTAATTTACAAAGCTGTCCTGTAGTGTGGGCCTCGGCGAGGGCCAGCCTGGCAGAGCCTGCTGGTCACCGCACTGCCCAGCTCTCGGGGGGGACACCCAGAAGTGCCAGCTTGCCTCTGAGCATGCCCTGCCTTCCTCTGCAGCCTCGGCTCCTTCGGCATGCCCCGAATGCCCCCGTCCTCCACAGGAGGAAGCACAATCCCGGAGAACCCCGTTCCCTCCGCTTCGACGCCGGCCAGTGCCTCTCCAGCTGGGGGTGGTAACCCCCAACAGCAGCTCATGCAGCAGATGATCCAGCTGCTGGCCGGAGGAAGCTCTCAAGTACGTAATGCCCAGCCGCACGCCGATACGCTTCTGGGGAGGGACATCTCCGGGGTGAGCTAGAGGTTGTCCCCATCCCACCCCGCTCCAGGGATGTGGTCCCCTCAGGTCTCTCTTGGCTGTGGTGCTTTTTGCTAAGTTTGGTGTCTCAGGCTGGCTAGTTTTTTGGGGTGTGGTAACCCCTTTGCACAGGTTTGAAGCGAAGAGTGCCCGGGATCCTCCTCCCAGCGCTGCTGTCGCCGTAGGTACAGAGCGTGGCCTACTGTGGGCAGCGTGGCTGCTGTGCCAGAGCCCCTGGGCAGGTGGGGAACGTCACTAAACGAGCCTGGGGGCATTTCAGTACGCCTAAAGCTGAGCTCAGGGTCCCTGCTTGGCCGTCGCTGCTGGCCCTGCCCGTGTTGGGTGTTGATCTGGCTCTAAGGTCTTTGTCCTTTCCCTCTGCAGGCGCAGAGTCCTGAAGTGCGATTCCAACAGCAGCTGGAGCAGCTGAACGCCATGGGCTTCATTAATCGTGAGGCCAACCTCCAGGCGCTTATTGCCACTGGTGGAGACATCAATGCAGCTATTGAGAGACTGCTGGGCTCCCAGCCTTCCTAAACTCTTGTCATGCTGCCCCACAGACGTCAGCACATGCATCCATACACATGCACAGGGGGATCTTTCAGGAAAGCCCGCCATCATTTTCATATCTGACAGCTGTCCATGTATTTAAAACAAAAAGATACAGCTTAACCCCTGACCTTCCTACTAAGTTAAGATTTCATGTTGAAATGCTCTTTAACTGGCTTGTATGTGGATTCCAGTTCTCATCGTGGCCACAGAGACTTCAGATGTGTATTTTTTCCTAAATATGCCCTCTGTCTCAGACACTCTTCTCTCTCTCTCTAGATGGTAGAGGCGATACTTCTAGTTACTTACCTGAATGATTGTGGTTTGAGTAGCTTGATTTTAACTGTACATGATTCCCTCCCCTAGCCCTCCTTTCAGGCGAATATTTAAAACTTGAGCCAAGTTTGATTTTTGGTTATTTCTCCCAGCATCTTATTGGGAATGGATCAAAAGAAAAATTGAAATGGAAATTTCTGATGTCGCTTGTCTCAATGTTCCGTTGGATGAACTGAGCCCGTGTCCCTTGCGCGCAGGCGCCTCTGATCCCCTGGCAGAGGGTTAATGTGCATGAAAACTACGCTTGAGGTGTGGCCTCTTTACACTCTTGGGGTGGTGTAGAGGAGCCTGGATGCCTTCAGGGATCAGGCTCGCTGTTCCTGAACTTGAGTGGAAAGTGCCGTGCGGAAGAATGTGTGCGAAAGGTGTGTTTCTGCCCAAGCCGCCTAGTTCTTGCGCAGTGGTGTCGGGGGTTTGGTGACTCTTGTGCTCAGTAGGCTCATTTCTGAAAGTGTAAAAATGAAAAAGTAAATTGAAAAATAAGTTAACGATCTTTTCGCTTCCCTGGAAAATGTTGAAGTTCATGTTCTTCCCAGTTTAGATACATCCTCCATTCACCCCCACCCCCCCCCGCCCCATTTCGGTGTGTCTGAATGTTACGACTCTCCGAGAAACTCCCCGAGGACCAGCAGGGTGATATCTTCCCAGGAGCCTCCGTGGCGGTGTAATTTGCATACCATTTTTATCAAAGACAAATAAATGCGCACAACCATCTGTCTCCCTGCGCTCCATGTATCTTCCTTGATTGCCACGTTTAAGCTGATTGAGTTCCCATAGTTACTTGTGATTAATCTGTCTTGTCCCCGGTGCTTACCTCTTGCAGATAGCGCGGGGTGTCGTGCAGCCTCCCCACCTGGCCGGGCTTCCTTCCCTCTTGTGACCAGAAACCTTTCTGAGGCTGAAGAAACGCTGCTGAAGGCTTGCCCGAAATCTGGCCCTAAACCTGCCCGTCCGGAAGCTTCCCGTGAGTTAGGGACTCTCGGGTGCGGGTAGGACAAGGTCCCGGGTCCTGCTGTGTTTGCATGACCTGAGCCACAGTGTGTGAGAAGCCAGCGACGACCTCTGCTGACCCCAGTGGCGTTTGCTCGCAGCTGGCCGGTGCCCAGGGGGACCCGGGCAGCTCTGCACACAGTGGACTTTACCCCTGCTTTTCTGTAGCAAGCACAGCGCTCGCTGTTAGCTGGGTGTTTGTGTTGGGTTGTTTCGAGTTTCTGGGGGTAGGGGAGGATTGGGTAGTGAGAGGGAATGGGAGGAATCCCGGGCGGCTTGCTTGCGTACCTGTCAGACCTGCTGCAGGCAGCTTGCTTCGGAGGTGGAGATGGGATCTGTCCGTGCTCTGCGGTGTTGGAGGGCGTAGGCGGAGCAGTGGTTGCTTGAGAAAATGGGAGTGCGTGCGGGCTGGGAACGCTCCCGCCTCTGCGTGTGCGCATCACGGCGAGACTGGGGTTTTTCAGACGAGGATTCAGAAAGCCTGGCTTTCCTCTCTTGGAGGCTGTGCACAGACATGGGGCTTTCTTTTTGCAACCTCTCCTCGAATGTAAAAAGAGTTTTCAGAGAGTTGTGTAAGGACGGGGACCAGAGTTCATGACTGTGCTGGCAAGGTCAGAGCTCTTTCCTAATGTTGCTCGTTGTCCCCTCCGCTGCTAAACATGGGCTCATAAAAAGCCCTGGATGGTCCTTTGTGGTCTCTAGGATTTGGCGGGTGTCCTTTCCCTGCGCCAAGGTCTGTTTAGTCCCCGCAAAGGCTCCGTCCCCACGCAACCCAGCTCTCGCGAAGAACGCGCTCGTGGGAGGCTGGGGTGAGCAGGTGGGTGAGAGGGAGCCGGGGAGGCAGCTCCGAGGAGAGGGAGTGGGGGTGTCCCCCGTCTGCGCAGGAAGGTTGTGCTCTGAACCCCTTTGAATTCACAACGTCCCAAAGCCTGTTGTTTCTGGCGAGCCGGGGTCCTTCCGGCTCGCTCCTCGCTGTTGGCAAGATGTGCTGGTGGGGTGTAAATCACACCAACGCGGGGATCCGCGTGCGCGTGAGGGGAGCTGGCATGCTGCTCGGTGGCAGGACAGAAGCTTCGGACCTGTCCCCCCACATCTGGCGTTAGGAGGGATTTGGAGGGGTGTGGGGGTACGGTGAGACCAAAGCAACGAGCCGTGCCGGGAGGGAGGGCTCCTGCGAGGCTGTGGTGCCATCGCTGTCTCGGCACGGGCCAGTGAGGTGGAACGGGGTTGGTGATGCTTCAGCGTCGCTGCGATGAGGCTGGCTGGGGACACAGAATCCCAGCATGGGGGGGGTTGGGAGGGCCCTCTGGGGATCCCCCAGCCCAACCGCCTGCCCAAGCAGGGTCACCCAGAGCAGGCTGCACAGGACCCTGTCCAGGCGGGGCTGGGATATCTCCGGGGGAGGA